GAGGAAAACGATAAATTAAAATGTCAAAAGATTGAATTTGGATCGGATTACAAGCGGACCCGCTTGAAAAACAATTTTAATTAGTGTCACAATAATGTTTGGGGAAATATGAAGCTTTTGGTAATTGAACAATTGAAAGGCGTCGCTCGACACACGCCCGCCTGCAGCCGAAAATAAAAACACAATGGGAATTACGACTAAAAGCCTCTTGCGTGGCGAAATTCGCCGCGGCTAAAGTTGAAACTGTTTTAAAAGCTAATTGAAGACGTCTGTTTCCACTTTCCGAGCATTGAAAACTTTCCCCAAAGGTCTCCTTAAATTCCGCAAGCCATAAAGTAAAGGGACAATCCCCACCGCGACTCTCGACTCTGTTTCGGCGTGCTGCTGTTTTTTTGGCGTCCCCCATCGAAATTTTTCTGAATCACCCCCGGAGCGTGCGGAAATTTTCGAAATTGTTCAATAACGAACCAAACATTATTATAAGGGGTGGTTTTATAGAGGGTGGGCAGGGGATGTATGTCACTGCAGGACACAGGACGGGAGATAGTGGCGTGCAGAAATCGATAAACACATCGAACGATGATTTCGCGTGCATTATTGGCGTCGCATCAATACACATCAGGGCGCGCTCGCCGCGAGGGGTTGTTTTTATTTTCGGCGAAGCAATAAATTTTGCTGTGAGCGCGCGGGGCGCTCGTTCCGCTGCGACAAAACATGGATCATCTACTTATATACCGACGATAAATCAGCCTCTCCTTTTTATCCGTGATATCTTACTAGAGCTTCTTTTCTCGGCGCGCGCAAAAGTGGAGCATGCGAAGCACCCCAGCGGAGAGTGAAGCATTTCTCTAATTAAGTAGATAATAAATTTGCGTGTAAGCATGACTTAATGTGCAAGCGCGCTGTGTTTTTTTTTTCTTTTCATTTTCGCATTCTTTTTGTTTTACAACTTGTTTACTCCTTTCTTATTAATCTTCTTTAATAACGCGCGCGCAGCTCGAGCGAAAAAAACTCATTATCCTTGCGCGAGTCGCTGTTAATTTGCGAGGCTAAGCGGGTGACGAAATAAAAATATTAAAATAATACCATGAAGATCTCTCTCGCGCGCCGAGAGCGCGCTGGTCTCCAGGGTGTTTAAACCGACATATTCTGCTTTAATGCGCGCGCTCGTCCTGCAAACTCCGCAAGGACGTGCAATTTTCACGGTGCGCTTGTCTATGAAATTAAAACAGCACCCTGGCTGGGGAGAAAAGTTACACATGCATGAAATACGCCGTGTTTTGATTGCGAATTGTACCTAGGGATAATAATTATTATACGAAATGTGTACGCAAACACGATACACGCTTTTTTATACAGTGTGTCACGTATTAATTGCAAATAAAAAATTCATAACCACACTAATGGAAAATAATTAAGCCGAGCTTTTTATGGCGCGTCAGTTTTAATGAAAATGCATACACTAAAAGCTCTCCGGCTAGTGAAATTTAGTGTGTTTTTAGAGAAATGTGTGCATCGTGTATGTTATTTGATTTTCGGACGCTGGACTCGTCCGGTTGGCGTAATTATTACTCATTCAAACTTTCCGAACGTGCTGAATATAAAATAATAGACTTTGCCATTTCTATCTATCATGTGGTTCATTTCCTCGCTCTGTTTTAACTTTTATTCATTTTCTATGTTTTCTTTCTCTACTGTCATTATTTTCTTTAATTATTCACCGTGAATATAAAATATTATACCTTTTATATTTATACAGTCTTTAAATTTGAAATAATAGTAGATTATTAAATATTATATCAACTTCCAGTACAATACTATTGTGTATGCATTTTTAAACTGCATATTGGAAAAAAGGTGTTGGTTAAAATAACCTTTACAAACTGTTTGACAAATTAGCCAGACACTTGCTGTATTTTTTCCCCGCTTGCTCGTTCGAACGAGTAGAAAACGTCGTCGCAGTGTTTTTATTCGTCGTGTCTATTTCTTTGTGCCATGTGGATGTCGTGTACGTAGCGCGAACACAATTACAGTCCTTTTTAGAGTCCCATGGTGTTTTTAGATAAAACTGTCATGTCGAATGAATGCTCAGGTACGTGTTTGGCTCAGGGCTCGTATTAAAAGCTCGCGCTCTCTTTCCATCTCCTCCGTCTTTGCCAAGATGGAAAATAAAAACGTGTCCGTCGTGGTCATGCTTTCTTAGCCTCAGTTCTTACTTCACGTAATAAAAAATAACATGTTTAGTTTTCTTTTACGTTTCGAATATTTTAAATAATTTACTTTGCCAAACGCAGAAGAAAACATTTCCGAAAGTAATGTGGAGAATATCCTGCAATATGTGAACGCCCGCAGGAGTTGATGCGAGCCGACAAGAAGTGGTCTCGTCGCGACAAATATTACATACATATTTAACGCAGGCGTTCGCGGCGGGAGAGTCGTCAGGATGCGCAAATTACACTTGAAAGATAGCCCGGCGCCTTCACCATTCAGCACGCACACGTTCTATTCGTCTATTTAATTTACTTTTTTACGCTGAAGCCTTTCACCACTTGAATGAAGAATTATTTCCATGTGCTCGACGCCAACGCGTGAGTGAACATGGATTTCATCTGACGCGCAAAAATATATTCGAAACGAATAAAAAATATTCAATTTACAACTCGTTTTATTTTTATATCTGTAACCTGTATTTTTTTGTGAAGCGAAAAAGCAGTATTTATTTTATTAATCCGTGAGAATTTAGGGTCGTGATAAAGAAGTACGAACGCAATCGTGCGGCCGGCGGTAGTCAGTGGTCCTAAATAAATTTAATTATTACGGCTTTCTTCGGCTCGAGCGCGCCGGCGAGCTTCTCTCCTGGGCAACTCAGGAACTCAGGAACGCGAAGCAATGGAAAACTATAAATTCAACGCCTGGATCACGTCTAGACTTAATCGCGAAGAAAATCCTAGCGTGCCAAACCGCGCTGATTAATTAAGTAACGCTTTAATTCGCACGTGTTTTATTTAGTAGCAAAAAATAAATTACCGAAAATTATGCGCTATTGTAAATTTAATATAAGGTTTCCGATGACTTTTTGTGCATCGTCTGGTTTATTTTTGCCAATGTCACGATGCCAGGCAAGTAAACACGAACACGTCTTGGAGACGAAAAAATAATATACGTGTGCGCATGCAGTCAGGTAAAGCGTGATAAGCTTCTATCAGACTGTTGCGCCCCTGCGACCATGCAGACTGAGGGCACCCTTATCTAAGTCAATCAGGAAAAACACGCACTTTATGGATATTGTTGCCGGGCTGGCGTGCAGACCGTGCACTTGCACGTTTATATTTTTTTTCTTGAGAATAAAGCCTTTATTCGGCGAGAGGGTGGATTTTGCATGGTCAGTTTACATAAGCATACATGTATATAAACGAGGGTAGTTTTCTACAAACGCTTTTGATCAAGTCAACGTAAAATCTTTACTTCTTTTCGTTATAATTTTGTTTTATGCCACAATGCCGCAAACAGGTTTTAAGCTCCAAAAAATAAGTGCTACATGCTTTTTCTGTTTTTATTTTATTTCTCGTAATATAATTCGATATTCCTCTGGAGTTTTTTCTGCGTGTGGAAATATGAAAAGCGTGCGTAATGCGTGAGTATCAATTTGAACGCGTTGCTTTTTACGATTGCGTATATCATCCGATGGGCTATAAAAAGCATTACGTCCCGCTGCCGCGCGGCGTTAAAAAGTTTGCGAATTGGGATTTGTGTTTATGTGGCCGCGTCGCGCCCGTGGTATTTACGATTAAAGAAAATATATTTATCCGCGAGAGTGTTGTTGGGCCCTATTTACCGTAATTTGCGCGCGCGGCAGGGACTTTCGCCACCCGCACACACACAGACCACGTGTGGGCTGTTTTTTTTTTCGTTTCGCTTTCTGTGCGCTTTCCACGACGTCGTTGACGTCTTGGCTGTGGCGCGTCTCTCGCCGCAGATAAATCTGGCGTTACCCTGTAAATGAGGATATTACGATGCAAGTCATGTTTCTCGCTATCGATCCGTGCACCATAAAGCAGAGTTATATCAAAATGAAGAGGCTGCTTACCCCCAGCGTGGTCCTAAAAACCGCAGGACAGAGACCTAACAAGTCTACTAGCTGTTTCAAACTGTCGTTGGCGGAAAGATTTGCGCGCGCGTTCGTTTTTTTCCCGAACGCTCGCACGTTTTCAGCCCCAGAAGCAAATCATCAAACGTCGGCTTCCATAATGCAGTGACTGCTTGACGCCGGGCGTGACTTTAAAAATATGTTAATTATGTTTACCTTTCGCCCTGTGCAGAGTGGCATGACCTTCCGTGCGGCGGCAGTAATAATGTTAAGCGTCCTAGAAGACCTAGAAGACCTGGAAGATAGACGAGGCGAGTCGTTGAAAGCCAAACAAGACCGCGGAAGAAACGACAAAGGAAGATTCTAGCGAATATAGCGAATCCTAGGGGATATTTTATTGAGCGAGTTTTTACTAGCGCGAAATTATGCCGCCGCCGCCGCTGTCCGAAAAGTGCAGCCTGAACGCAAACGTTCACTCACTCGCCGCCGGTTTGTGCAAAAATGAACAAGTTTGTGAGGTTAGCCAAAGTTGTCGAGTTTCAGCTCGGCGCGAGATTAAAGCCAGCGTGCGCGCGCGAGAGTACGAAATGTGTTCGAGCGGACAAAAACCGCGACTCTGCGGTCCTTTTGCATCAGATATTCGAATGGATTAGCGCGTCGGAATGAGCTTCTGGTGTAAGCTGCGTCGGCGAACTCGCTGGGAAGTCGGTGCTAAGCGGGGCACGCGCTTTGTTGTTTTTGCATGCAGAGGCTAAATTTGGTCAGGCGTACACAAATTATTCCTGAAATATAAGCTTGCACTCTATTTGTCACACTTCGTGTTAAATAAAGTATTTTGTGTATCTAGAACTGCAATGACACCGATGATAAATTGAACTGTCACATGATACATGTTTCTGCTTATCTACCACTTTCACATGTCGCATAATTCCATTACCTTACAGTCATTTGAGTGAAAATGAGTACTGTATTGGTTTATATTTTACTATGTGTTAATTTTGCATATCCCGCGAAAATTCTTGGTGTGTTTCTCATCAATGGATATAGCCATACCATGGTCTTCAGTTCAATCATCAATGACCTTGCGAGGAGAGGTCATGATATTACTTTGATCACTATTGATCAATTTCCGATAGAAGAGGGTCACCAGATTCGACAAATTAATTTCCACCAGGAGTTTTTGAAAGTTAAAGAAAATTTCCCTGAGGTTTATGATACATATCCACCTAGAGAACTTACAATGGAAGGAATTAGAGGAACATGTCAGGCCAGTCATGAATACCTCTTTAATTCACCAGAAATTCAAGAATTGTTGAATCAATCATCTGGAGAAAACAAATTTGATTTGGTGATAGCGGAATACCTCATGGTTCTTACTCCCTTATTGAAGGAATTGTTCAAGGCGCCTGTTATTGCTGTATCTAATGTGTACATACCTGAATTTCTCATGCACAGAATGACAGGGCAATTAAAATATGACCAACCAGCGAAGAGTTTCACAGAAAGAATGATGACTTGGAGGCATCATTTGGAAAACTATTTTATTATGGAAGGTTTCTCTGATCTTCTTAATGAAGAAACACAAAAATATGCTCCGCAGGTTACCAAAACCGCGGAGGAAATGAGGTCCAATACAGATCTTATACTTTTCGTAGATATTCCTGGGTTTTTACCTGCAAGATCACTTCCCCGATATGTCATACCCATTGGTCCCACCCATTTTAATGATTCTAGTACTTTAACAAAAGTATAAATACAATTTTGGTTTTAGTAGTATTTTGATAGGATTTATTTCTAGGAATTGAAAGATTACTTGGATAATTCTACCCAAGGAGTTGTTTATGTAAGCATGGGAACCATAGTTGCATTAGATAACTTACCACTGGAAAGAAAACAACAATTTTTGGAAGTATTCCAACAACTACCTTATAATTTCATCCTGAAATGTGGTAAATGTGATCTCGGTGTGCTTCCAAACGTCAAAGTTGTCAAGTGGGTCGATCAAGTCTCACTCCTCGGTCACCCCAACATCAAGGCTTTTGTTAGTCACGGTGGCTATCAATCGACATTGGAAGCTGTATACCAAGCTATTCCAATGGTTGTCTTCCCCATGTTTTTGATCAGGAACGAAATGCTGATCAGATCGCCGCCAACGACATGGGGTTGAAGTTGGACATTACGAACTTTGCAGCTTCAGACCTAGCGGGGGCAATTGTGCGAGTCATTCAAGATCCAAAGTATAAAGAGAATATGATGGACAGATCGATCGCGTTACGAACACAACCTATCAAAGGGGTCGACATGATCGCATTCTGGGTCGACTATCTTGCCAAGCACAAACATGTCAAATTCCTGCATGGCGAGTCCAAACACATGCCCTTTATTCAATTCTTCAATTTGGACATCATTCTTTTTCATATCGTGGTAATTGTTGGCATCACTTTTGTTATCATGAGGCGTTGCTAATATTTAGTTGTTTAAAAAATTAATTTGTTACAAATACAATAAAGAATCGTAATTTGTCAGTGTGGTTACTTACGAAGCAAATATGCATGTTGTAATAGAAACTTGTAACTTTTTCAACCTATTTTTCTGACATGTACATAATTTATGAAATAAGCGGATATTTTTTGGACAGTTTCATTGTCATGATAAGTTTTAAGTTTTTAAACGGCGGTGCGTTGCTACTAGCTGATAATAAAATTGTCAAGTACGTGTCCTCAATCTCATCAACTATTGTCCAAATTGATTGCGTAAGTTAATCACTTGATTAATCCAAAAAGGAACTGTCACATCCTGATTGATATGCCTTATCTAAAAATCTCATTCATGAAATCTTTCAATGAACTTTATACAAAGTTGTATATTTTTCTAGTAATTTTGCATAATCTACAAAAAAATGGTTAACTATACAGTGATAATGATAATTATGGAAATGTTTTATTGACAGTTTATTGCGAAAATATCAGTATAACACCATTTCACGTCACGGCACAAAAAACAAAAACATGCACGTAACTAGTGCTGCTATTAAAAATTGGACTTTAGTTCACTTTTCACTGCCGGCTTGAATGCCGCGCTCGTTATCAGCCGTTTGACACTTGACTATTAATGATGATTAAAGGAAATTGTATTTGTATATATACCGTGCAACGACCGCGCTAGTGCGAGTGCTCATCTTAAAGTATAAGTGAAAATGTGGCTGCTGCAAAGTGTCGTCACGTTGTTCCTCCTGCTGGGAGCTGTCAATGGCGCCAACATCTTGTGCTACTTCACTGCACCCTCGCTCAGCCATCAGATAACTTTTCATCCCATCATCCGAGAGTTGGCGAACCGTGGGCATAACTTGACTGTCATCACTCCAAACCCTATGCGCGATGCCAACTTGACCAACGTGGACGAAATTGACGTGGAAGAGATTTCTTACTACAGCTGGAATAAATATAACATTTCTTCATTTGGTGTAAACGAAGAGGTGGCATCTACTGACCTCACGCCGATAATCAACGCTTATATGGAGATTGTGGATTCTCAATTGTCACATCCAAGAGTTAAGGCACTTATCAATGGTAGCAAATCCAATCATTTTGATATTTTTATTACCGAACATCCACATTATTTTACGACACCATTCAAGAGGATCTATGGTACGGGCATGGTTGGCATTGGTTCATTACCCTTGCATATGGGTTCTAATGGCATGATTGGAAACTTTGAGCATTCTTCTCTTTTTCCTGATCTGAATCTGCCATATTCGAATAAACTTACTTTCTGGCAGAAGATCCACAGTTATATACACTCTACTATTGGCGTGACGATGATGCGAAGAATCAAACCCAGACTTTTTGAAATTCTAACACCACACTTTGGTGCTGAGCTGGTAAATGAAATCGATGTTCTTTCCAAGGAGTATGATTTGGTTATGGTGAATTATAATCCTATTTTACATGCACCCAGACCAAATGTACCGGCTGTTATTGAATTCAATGGGATTCACATTAAACCTCCTAAGCCATTACCAGAGGTATCTATTGGATATAATTGTTTTTAAAGGTTTAGAAATTTATTTTTTTGATATTTTTAGGATATCAAAGCATTTTTGGATAGTGCTACTAATGGAGCAGTCTATTTAAGTTTTGGGTCTAATATTAAGAGTACTTCTTTGTCTTTGAAGAAACGAAACTTAATTCTTGAAGCTTTATCAGAATTACCCTTTAAAGTCTTGTGGAAATTCGAAGCTGACTTAGATAATCTCCCACCAAACGTTCGAATCATGAAGTGGACTCCCCAACAGGATATTCTGAGTAATAATTTGTTTCCGTTTGTGGTCAAAGCTTAGGTTGCTAATATTTCATTAATATAGGACATCCGAACGTAAAAATCTTCGTGACCCAAGGTGGTCTTCAATCGTTGGACGAGGCCATGTACACTAAAACCCCCGTGCTCGCAATTCCCTTCTTTGGAGACCAGCGTGGCAACGCCGCAAAAGTCGAAGAGGCTGGTATCGGCAAACGTCTCAACTTTGCCTCAATCACCAAGGACACGTTCAAATCCTCCATTCTGGAAATCGTCAACGACAGCAAGTAAGCTATACATGAATTGATAATGCTGTTGCTGTTGCTGCTGCAGATGTTAAAGTCAATGTACGCCTTTTGTAGATACAAATTGCGGCTGGAAGAAGTCTACGACATATTGACCGACCAGCCGATGTCGGCCGTGGACAAGACCGTCTGGTGGATCGAGTACGTCATACGGCACAAAGGCGCGCGCCACATGAGATCGCCGACCGTCGATGCAACGTTTATTGAATATTACATGATCGACGTTATTGGTTTTCTGCTCGGCGTCGTCCTGCTGAAGCTATTTTTCATCTACATTGGCGTGAAATTAATGATAAAACTTGCGAAGAAATGCCTCTTCGGGCGCGTCGATAACGCGGAAAAACTGAAGAAAAATTAATCACTTTTCTTGCGCACGACCGCGTGGCGAGCCGCGGACTTTTCCATTACTTGATCGAGAGGCGAGGGGCGTAATTTATTAAAATATTTGTGCCGTGTGGCGGCTGTATTCATGATGTGCCATGAATAGCTTGAATAGGTTGATTTTTGCATTGTATGACTTTTATAAATAAAATAATAAAAAACACCAAGCAGAAATGCTTTTTAAAAAATTGTATTACAACGAAGCTGAATTTAATTAAACTCGTAACACGTTTATAAAATAATATATCCGGTCTCAGCGCCTCCACCAATTGACACAACGAGTAGGATTAATTTTTACTAATTAAACAATGTGAAGTGTATGAAATGTTTATCTTATCTAATTTTTATTTGTTTCAGGTAAGTGTCCCGAAATTACGTCAAGTTTGGTGAGTTGTAGTATCTCAATTCAAGCATATTCACGTTTCCGGTCGCTGAGGAGTCGAATTAGTACAAATCCAGGCAAGGAACTTGCTTTGCTTCCAATGAAGTGTTAAGATTTCAAATATTGATCCTAAACCCGTAAACAAATACCAATGCGCGTCTCGTACAATTATCCTGAACAAATATAAATTGCCGAAACATGAAACCATCGTTGGGCTTTGAAGGACTACGGGTACAATTATTATAGCTGGACCGACAATGGAGAGAGTGGAACAGTCCAAGCATCTTCGGCAGTAAGGATAACAGGGCAATAAGTCATTTCTGTTTGTTTGCCTGACGGTTCCAGTCGCCTGGGTTTGCGGTACTGGTCCACTCGTTCCAAATCGGGTTCGCTTTTTCGATACTCGCAAGGGTGGTGATTCATAGGGACATGACGAATATGACTTGCATGTCGGCGCAACGCATAAATATATATGTAACAACTAGTGTGGCACCAGGGGTGGGCCATCGAGCTTAACTTGATTTATGTCGTGTGGTCTCACCCTTCGAACGCGACCGGAATGTCATACTCGTTCTTCTGAAACATATCTTTTTAGTATTATTATTATAAATCGTCCTAGACGACCGGTTTCAATTAAGGGTAGGAAATTTTAAGCAAACAGATATATTGATGAGTCACAGAAAGAATAAATATGTCACATTAATTTGTGTCTGTGAGAGATGATAATTCAGTGCGTGAAATAAAAAATTATCGCGGTTTGATGCTATTACTCGCACATTTGAGCATTAATTCAATTGTGTCCGCAGTCGACAATAACAAGCTGGACGGACGGCAATCCGCGAGCGCAATACACGTGTCAAATGAACACGATAAACAGTTTACATTAATATCGCATTGTTGTGCGCGTCGTTTTCGAGCCGCGTGAGCGCGCTCGCTTCGTTTAGCAATAATTTAATATTTAATTCGCAGCGCAGTATGCAAATGCGCTTTAATGAAAATTATCGCTAGGGGGAGTTGGTGCGTACCCCGCGCGCTGTCGGCCAATAATAATTGAAAGCGTTTATTAAAAATTCAGCGCGCAGATGAAAGGCGCTCAATTAATTAAAATGCGCTATTTATTACTCGCATTTACATACGCAAACAGATTTTTTCGCGTTAATAGGCTTTCCGGATTCTGGTTAATAAATCTAGGTGCGAACGCAAACGCATCCCTGTACCGGCGGTGCCAGGTGAATTCGAGAACGTAATGAAAAACGATTTCCGCTGCGTCACGTTATGACATTTAATTAATTTTGATTCGCATCCGTTTTTAATATCTCTCCGCGTTTATTGTAGTTGGTTGCACGGCTGGGTATATTAAAATTTTAAATTGAAGTACTTCGTTTCAAGAATATTCATGCGGGTATAGGTGTATACCTTCCTATATACATATTGTGGTAATTTTTGATAATCATATTTCCCACTTGCTAATCCTGAATAATAAGCCGCGTGCTTTTAAAATGTCGAGCAAATTCAGAGCTTAACTCGGATTGTCCAGGCGTACACGTGACAATAGTATAGCGTCGCGATAAGATACAAGCCGGAATGAAGACTGCTTTTCTTTTTTCGCACGTCGAGCGACTCGGTTCCTAAGGAGCCCAGACAATTGATATATTTAATTCATTTAAAAGTTCCATTAGAAGGAGACTACTGGTCTTTAGTTAATAACGCTGACGGGTACAAAGTGTCGCGCCTCGGCGTTTTATTTATGTAGAAATGAAAGTGTACGAAAGCAATGGAATTAGTCAGGCGAAGACGAAGAGACACGCCGAGTTGGAAGGTAGGCCCGGTCCTGTTTAGAAAATTAATTAAGTTATCTGCAAAGTCGTCGCTTCCCACCGTCTTCCAAGGTTCCACGCTCTTGGAACGGGGGCGGCTTTTTCACTCCGGAGGCGTAGGGCATAATACAATTGTTACTGTTAATTGATTTTTTCCTCTTTCCTTTGGCACTTTCCGAAGAGCCACTGCTTGTTTCGACCCTTTACGCTTGCATATTAATCTACGCCTAACTTGATAACCCTTTAATTATACCAGAAACGATTAATTACGAAATTAAATTTATTTTTGGCTTGTATTTTTTTATTATTTAGAATTAAAATTAAATTTGTTTTGTTTTCGTTTTCGCGAGTTTAATTCGCCCGAACGAACAACGACAATTTCAACCCAGTTTCGTCGAGCTGCGCCCCGGTGATAAATGGCAATAAAGCCACTGATAGATCTCGAGATAAACTGCGAAAGTCTAAAACTTTAGCGTTGATACACACGCCAACCGAAACCGAAATCCAGTGTGGGCTGCGCGCGCCCTGGATGCACACGCACGCTGAGCAGAAATTTGCATACGTTTCGCGCCGATATTAATTGCGGCGGTCGTTATTAATTACATTCAGGCCGGCGCTTTTTAGGTAAATAACGCCCGACGTCTTCTCGGCTGCATAAGCATATTGTCGGTTTGCATTCTGCATAAATCTAGAAATTACAATAGGTGAATGGGCGAGCTGATAAGCAGCCTTGGCACACGATGTCGTACGCTCACGGCGATAAATTACACCGTGGAATATTTTTAGCCAGCGCAATTAGCATTAGATAAGATAACGTTACGTTCAATAGACAAGTACATAAACATAAGAAAGAATTGGAGCGCGGTGCGAGCAGGAAATGTTTGTTTGATGTTGCCAGGCCACTCACCTATGTTAATATGCTTATCTATTGTGACGATGTTGAAATTTTTTCTACGCATCTGCTAAAGAAATTAATTTTTTGTGTTTTTTGTTTTGGGAATATACAAGGTCGACGCAATGCGCAGTTTTATAACCTACATGTATGAATTGCATATTCAGTCATTTTTCTGCAAGTAAAATTATTACCCCACTCCATGAGGAGCGCGTGTGCGTTGGCAAACTTTTGATACGTGTGCAGCCGGCGCCGCCGCCGCCGTCGAACGGTCGAACGGTTATTCAAGTCACGGTTCATGCCTCATCTCATTTCGGTGCTGTCCCGCTGTCCGACTGCTATTGACCCGCGCGGCCGTCCGCGGCGCGCTCGCCACAAATCACAATTTAGTTATGGATTACGCGTACGCTCTACGGACGTTTCGCGATTACGATTATCCGTCGTAGCAGAACGGCCCGCACCGCGATGGCGGCCGACAACAATGCCTTCGCAACGCCCGAAACACCAACGAACAAATATAATTCAAGCTTCAATAAATCGAGCAATTACACTAATTAACCATCCACCCATGGCAGGGGCCAGGCCCGCGCGTGTTTCGGGATCAGCACACTCAAACACAAGCCCTGAGAGGAAAAAAATCGCACGCAGTTATCGATTCGCGCTCAGTGAGCCTTTCTCACTGCATACAACAAGTCATTTCGGTTGCGTGGGTGGCATATGGATCATTTGATTTCATATGTCATTGGTTTGCCATTAGCAGGATTGCGGAATACGAATGGTCAACCATAATTTTTTATTCCGCATAATCAAAGCCCAACCTAAACTAAAACGGATCTCACGATGGTGAAGTCACACACAGTTGATGTAAGATTATCATCTAAGGTTCGGCGATGACATTGTAATATTGTGACATTGTTGAATTTTGATTGGTTTGGCTTGGCACATCCTGCCGCCGGCCATCCGAGCGCGACGTGACGCTTGAACGCAATCGTTCCTACAATATCCATCTCCGAGACGACGGGTTTTCACATCGTCGTGCACGCATGCTGCTCAAGTGTCACGCGCATAATAATACTCTAGCGATAATTATATTTTAATGAAGTTATTCGCCTCGGAAGAGATGCACCGACAGTGGTGGCGGCTGTGATAAAACTGTTGATAATGTTCTCGCCCTCCGTGCGGGGGATGGAAATCGTTCCGCAATTACAACAACGCGAAACCCGAAAACGGCATTTGAACAACACTCGAGCATGCTCACCACTCGCGGCATAATTTTCGCTAATTGTTTTCGGGAGGCTAAGTGGCCCATAAATTCGGGTGTGGGGTATGAGAGGACGGTGGCAAGTAACTTCGGTGTAACGAGGGTTGAAACAAGTCGTCGGCGTTGTCTACTCGCGCAAAATTACCGATTGCTCTTCATCAAAGGGTCACATTTTTTTGTCGCAACCCTTAACACAATCTGTGTGCATTTGATGCGCGTTGTGTCCACGAGCAAAAAATCACGGACAAATTTCATCTCATAAAGATTTTCGTTGTGTATCTCGAAGGGAGTTTTTCACTCCCTGCTGATGTAATATGTGTGCGTGCGCTGCGATGTGAGTTCTTAACGTTTTTCTATAATATAAACGACAGGGGTTGTTAGGATCCCATTTTGTCGTTTTTTATTGCGCCGACTGGGTGAAGATAAAGGCGAAACAAAACAACAGCGATCGAAACAATGAAAGACGTATACGCTGGAAGAGCGGCAAGAAAAACAAAAGGATGAATGGAGGTTATAGTTCAATCTCGCGATATATGCTCTCCGGCGAGCTGCGCGTGAAACGAAAATATCGAACAACATTGATATTGGAAAATATATCCGAGAAGAAAAATTGTTTCCCAGTTTCACTGCAACTTTTATTACATTCAATATTCGCAGCGACGAAAGTGCACGACCACCGAATGTGTATGCCCCGCAGTTGTGATAATAAATTAACCCTCAAGAGAGCACGAATACATAGTTCAGGGGGTGCGATAGTACGAAATAATTACAACGGGTTATTTTTTCCTTTTAGCCGAAACTGGGTCAAATTACGGACGTAAAGCAGGAAACAGCACACCAA